AGGGAGGGGGGAGGGGAGGGGGCTCCATGCAATGGCAGTGATGACCCATTCCTGACTGCGGACCTCCCGAAGCTGTCTTAGAGACTGTGAGGGGCGTGGGAAAGCAGCATGGTAGCTGGGCTCGGGAACCTCGCCCTCTGCCCCACCACATTCACTGATAAACAGCAGCCAGAGTGTGCCAACAGTCTCCTGGAGATCTCCCAGGCTTGAACTGGATGCTGGTGTACCCGTTTGTGTGCCATGGGGCACTGCCTAGAGCTACATGAGGTAATGGTGGGGGGCCAGAGGAACTGAACCCGTCAAACGGGTTCCTGAAATGGTGGAGGCACTTTAATCTCTTGCTTCAGCCCAGATGGCCAAACAAGGCTGAGGTGTTCTCACGCTGCCACGAACAAGCTCCTTGCAGCCTCCCCAAGCTCTGGGATGGGGGGCAGAGACCAGCAGTCAGGCAGCTCCACCCTCCCAACCGAGGCTGCAGGAGACGAGCTTCTCACCAGCCACCAGCCTCCTGGCCTGAATGCAGGGCTGCCTCAGACTCCACATGCGCCCAGGTTCTCCCTGGGAGCTTCTGCTGGGTTGGACTGAGGGCCTCTCCTCAGTTTCCCAAGGCTGAGGTGGAGGGAGAAAGGGAGTGCTCTGCTCTGCTCTGCAGCCCTTTAGTGAGGTTGGGGGAGATCTGGGGAATTGATCGCCTCTTGCCTGAACACAGTGCAGAGGAGTAGGCCAAACGTATTCCTACTCCCAGAAATTTTGCAAACCACGCTGGAGGCCACCGTGTGCATGTTTGTGTGGAAGGGAGAGCAAGCGAGCTCGTGCACTTGCACTTGTCTGCTGAGATATTAAAGGCTGTGTCTGCTGCCATTCTCCCCACCCCACCCTCTTCAGTGGGCCTTAATCTGCACCCACCATCTAAAGTGGGGTCTTTCCTTCTGCCCAGTTGGTTTCAGGAGGAGCCAATCAACTGAAGTCCAAGAGCTTCAGATTAAGCCGCAGCTTCCAATGCTACCAAATGGTTTTGAAAGCCAACTGTCTCACCCTTTGCACCCAGAAGCCTGCTTTCTGCCCACTGAAAAACTGGAGCACAGACTGGGCAGTCAGGAGGATCTTTCTGATGACTGCACATCTCTGCAGGCACCCCTTTCACACACAGACCCACAGACCTCGCCCACGCAACTCTTCAGCGCCCCAAACAGGTGGCTGGAAACAGGAGACGCGAAAGTGCTCGCCATCACAAACCTCGTAGGAAAAGTGCTTGCCTTCTTGCTTCTTCTCAAGGGTGGCGAATTAAAGGCAGTAGACAAAGACAGGATGACACATTACAGACAAACATGGGCGTGCCCCCACCCCCACCCCAGGTTGTGACTGGCAGGCCTGGGAACAAATCAATTCCAAGCAAGGAGCCCAAAGGCTACCTCTAGACAGGTGGATGAACCTGCCCACCTGCCTGCCAGGTAGATCTCCCCAGCCTGCCCCATGGCAGGGCAGGAGGGCAGCAGCAGAGGAGGAATCAGGGAACGAGGTGCAGATCTGGGGTGACATCGCCTCTCTCTCTCAGCTTTTGGCCAGGAAAGAGGACAAGCTCTTTTGGCCTGGTGCAGCAGGGGGGTCTTGTGGCCCTGGTGCAGTAGGAAGGGGCCAATGGCTTTAGATCTGTTCTCCTCTGCATCCGGGGGACTTGAAGAGGCAAAAACGGTGCCATTTTGCCCCCCATTCCTCCAAATAGTCACATGAGCAAGAGGGGGTTCCTCAAACGGCCTAGCTCCCCAGGGACACAAAAGCCAGACCTGACGTGTCTCTGGGAGCTGTAAATGGGGTGGACCTGCCTGTGGCCTCCCACTGTTGAGCCAAGCTTAAAAAACACCACCCTGGAGGAAGAGACGGCACGTGCTTGAGCACAGCAAACGAGGGTGCCCCGCACTGTGCCCGCAGGTCCACAGCCACGAAACTGAAGGAGATGCGGGGGCAGAGCTACTCAACCTCTGTCAGTCTTTGGCAACCCTGCCAGCTGCTCCCAAGGCCCTTTCCAGGGCACAGGCGCTGCTCTCCTTCCTCTTCTTGGCTGCCCAATGCTTGGGAAGAGTTCTGCATTCAAGGCAGTAGCTGACCACTCACCTCTTTCCCGCCCATGGCTTCAAACATCTTCTCAAGTTGCACTCGCAGCTGCTGAATGTTGTTCATCAAGATACAGGGCTGGAAACCACAAGGAGGGAAGCTGCCTTAGCTTACTGGGTATGAGCCGCTGAGAGAGAACTGACCGGGCAAGAGATCACGAGGCTTGGGGAAAGGGGTGTAAAGACTGGCTGAGAAGTCCCAGAAGACCCCCTGGAGGTTTGTAAGCCGCCCTACTGAATGAGCAGCTGGGAGGAAGAGCTGCACAGCAGACATGATGAGCAAAGGGTTCCCCTGCTCCTGTCGCTTCATTCAGCTGTGCCGTTCCCCGGTCTGGGGCAGGCTTAAGGGCATCAGAAAGCAAATCTTGCTTGAGGACGCGGCTGTGAGACTGAGATCCGATTTCCAGCATCCTGGTCCCTCCTCCCTGATCTGTGTTCTCCAGCCCAGGAATTGGGGCCTTTCTAGTGAAATGGCGTAAGGCTTCCCCCTCCTTTGAAAAAACAGCTGCCAGACTGCCTACGCCGGCATGAGCAGGATGTCTTTGTAGCAACTCTTAGAAACCCATTTGCACCTGCAGATCTACCGGGCATTTTCCTGCAGCACCTCTGGAGTATCTCTCTACGTGGGCACTGCCCAGTTAGCCTTACTTTGCAGCTTATTGCTTTCAAAATGGCCAAAGGCAGATGTGGAAATCCCCACTTAAAAGCCCTGGATGATCCGAAGATGTGATATAGAAGTGAAGGCCACTATGCAGGGAGCAGGATTTGTGCTTGTTGAGAAATGAATGGCTAGGTCCTCAAGGATGATCAGCTCAGGTCTGGTACCATTTTGCTCTCACTGGCAATTTCTGCCACCGAGCACACCATTCTGATTCCCTGCTTCCGTGACACTGGTTCTGCCTCATTCTACTTTGAGTTAAGCAGAACTTTGGACCTGTCATGATGATCATTCTTCTACAGTGGTTGGTAGGTATCCTGAAAGCTGATTCCCCTCGCTTGGGTGGGCAGGACTAAAAAAAACCTGAAGAAACACCTGAATGGGGCAGAGCATCCTTTCCTTCCAGGGATGGGATCAAAAAGCAGTAGGACCTCCAAAGGAAATTCAAGAGGAAAAACTGAGTGGAAGATGACCAAAGGAAAAGTTCTCCATCTCCACGGCAAAATCAATATTGCACCTGGGAGGAAGGGATGTTCTCTCCCTTTCTAGGGATTGTCCAACCAATCATAGCAACCACTGTGATCCCTTCTGTCCACTGTAGGAAAACAGCTTTGTGTATTGAAAAACACCCCTTCCTTTCTCTGGATCCACCACAGTGCTGCATGTCATGGATTCCTCAGAATCAGAACACAAGAAGCTGATGGACTCCCATCCTGCTAGGGAAGATCAGCTGGCTCTCCACCCACCAGACAGCTGTGTCTGCTGATGAGCAGAGTGACAAACTGCTGTGCTGGAGAGAGAGCAAGAATGCACAGGTCTTGGCCAAGTGCCCAGTCCTAAAATTAGGAGACTGCTTAGGAGCATTAGGCCAAGACAATCCTTCTACCTTTTAGAAAGGAAGAGACAGGAATCAAGACTTCCTAAAACATGGCTGGGGTGGGCCACACCAACAAGAAAAGCCTTAAGAGTAGCAATCACTGATTCCTTGACTGACATCTCAGTCCTTAGAAAGTCCTGGGTTCTTGGGCCTCCTTCACACCAACTGGATCTTCTTGTTTTCTGGCAACCCCTCTCCCTCCAACAATTGGCCACAGGTTAATCTCAGTTGGCTTCTCCAGACTCAAGTTGTCTACTGCTGTTTTTTGTGTTCAACACCACTTCTGACTTGATGAGGACTTTGTGGCAGGGAAATTGGCTAGTGCTTCCCCTACACTTTAGGAGGAGGTGTCTTCAACAGACAGGCCAGCTTTTATTTTGTGGATAAATGATATCCAAGCCCAGGAGTCATGGGCGTCAGCTGATCAGCAGCCTCGAGACATACAAGGCCTGGACAACACCTTTGGTTAGCCAGTCGCTGAAAGCTCTGGAAAGGAAGGAGGGGGCGCCCTTCTGCAGATGATTATTGCTATCGCAAGGCTGGGTCTGGCTAAGTTGAGTGTTGTGGAAAGGCTCTCGGGGTTACCTTAGCCTGCAAAACTGCCCTCTGGGCTACTAATCAGCAAAACAAAAGAGATCTTAAAATACCAAGGAAAGTGATAGCAGAACACAACCTGATAGGGATCACTAGGCATCAAAGGAGAACAGGGTTCTTCAGGTGGAAAATCTATCTCCCTCTCTTCCCCTTGTGCTATTCAGTTCCCTATTGATCATACAACGGTTGCAAAACTCAGTATGAAATCTGAAAAAGTAGCAATCAAACTTTGCTCACCACATTTTCCTTATCACAGTAAGAGCTGAAATCCTCTGTTATAATTGCAGCATACTGAGTAAGCACTTTATGGATTATCTAGAACAAAAGAAACATGTTACTATGGAACAGCATGACTATTCAGGGAAGGATCTAAAAGACCACATTGTCTGGGCCATTCTTGGAATTGGGTGGAACGAAGCTAAGTCCTGTCTGCGCCCTCAGACTCGCCCTCAGTAGATCGTTGCATCCTTCTTCACTGCAGAAGCTATGTGACAAACCTTCCGTATGCAGATGGTAGCCATCCCAAAATTCTTAAAGAGCTTTATCTATCCTAAAGAGCAGTTTCTGGAAAGTGATTTATAAAGAAGGATCCAGGAAGAGCCAAACAATTATATCTCTTCTGGCTAAAACTACTGAAGCCCAGGGAGGTTATTTACTAAAACTGAATGGCGGGAGAGTTAGGGGAGAAACGGCAGAGGCCACATCACATGAGCCCTTTCCTAGAGGCGCAAGTGAGCGTTTCAGTTCAGTAAATGGAAACAGGGAACTCCTGGGAGGAGCAGCCCCAATAGCAGTACCTCTTCCCTGAAACGCTGGCCTGGCACCTCCCTGGTCATCAGATGAAGATGTTTCTGTTCGTTTAGGCCTTTTAATAACTTCTTGACTATGCTGGTCTATGACCAAAATAAAATTGATTGATTGATTCTTCTCTTGACCTCTCCTTTTAAAATCAGTGTGTGAGAGTTTGGTTTTTTCTTCTGAGTGGTAATGTTACATTTCATGTCGATTTCTCTTCTTTGTTGCATTTAAACTCTTATTATTTTTATTACGTTTGGTTCTTGTAAGCTGTTGTGGGGCAACACACAAATGCATTAAAAAACAAAGAGAAGCTGTGAAGCTGCTGCCACCCTAGATGGCTTCAGAAAGAAATGAGACAACCCATGGCATATGGACTAGTAAGAGCCATGAAACACCTTCAGGTTCAGAGGCAACCTCTTCACATGAACTGGGCAGGAGGGTGCAGAGCAAAACGGCAACTGGTTGGTCTCAGCAGAACACGATGCTGGGCTCCTGATCCTGTTCGGTCTTGTATTCTGACATCTTATCTCTCTTCCAACAATACAACTTGGTCTCAAGTGAAACCACATTAAAAAGCCACGGCTTTCTGTGCCTGGATGCACAGAGAGATTACCGTGCTGCCAAGCTGGCATCTTTTGACTTCTTCCCTTGAAGTCCCCAAGCATTCCTTAACTTCTATGGATTCCTAGTTTTCTAGACAGATCACAGCTAGCTAGTTTAGAGAACACATTTTTTTCCCTTGAGATTTATCTTGATATGTCACAGAGCTAGAAAAACGAGATACCCTTTGACAGGATGAAAAGCAAGAATGTGGGGCAACCTCCAGCATCTTCCAAAAGTCTCAAGGTAGGCCATCCATTTTAATCTGTTGTGATCTACTCACACATGTAGATCGAATTAGGCTCCACCACAAAGGCAACAATACAACACAAGAGCACCCACCTTTGCAAATTTTCTCATGAGATGAGAAAGTGCTTCAGGATTAGGACACTCTAACTTCTTTATGATCTCAAAACTCTGGCTGAGCTGCGTGAAGACATCTACCACTGAGCAAGAGAAGAGAGCATGGTCTGATGTGGGCTGGAACTGCAGGGAGAAGAAACAACACGTACTGTGGAGAAGCCTGGTGTGAAGAGCTATTTCTTCTCAAAAATGAGGCTGTACTACCGTTTTGGGGTAACAGAGAGCCCTTCAGGACTGGATTTGAAGAAAGGGGGTCTTGGAAATCACCACAAAATCTACCTCTTAGAGAGACTGTAATGCAGTCATCACTCAATGGATCACACTGGTAAGCTAAGTTTAGTGCTACAACAGCAGCTCCTTTCTTAAGATGGGGCCACAATTCCTGATCGTTCTGCTCTCTGCTCTCTTTTTATGGGAAAAGAGCTGGCTACATCCAGGTGGGGTTAGGGTGGTGGGAGTTATGGCCTTCACTTCTTGATTCTGCTCACCCCATCTTTCTTGTCCCTTCCCAATGCGCCGTGAAGGAATTCCATGGAGACATCCTCATTTTCGTCTAGCCACTGCATGACAAATGGCTCAAACCACCTAGGATTGGACATACGTGTGTGGGTGGGTTTTCCAGGCAGTCTTTTCTCTTAAAACCAGATTCTGCTAAATTCACTTTAGGACTGCACACTCAGGGTAAAATGGTGCTGGTACAAATGGATGTGTCTTGGCTTAGACATAAAATCTCGCCCCTTCCCACCATGATGGGACATCGATAGGACGACTGTCTTTTGCAGATGGGGTAGAAATCAGGTTAGTTTAGTGGCCCTTTCACTTGTTCTGTAAATGGTCATAGCAGAAGCTGCATCTTACATTTTGGGGGGGGGGGGCAAATGGTCTGAAAAAGGAAATGCCGTGCCCAGGAGAGCTGCCTCTTCTGCCTCCTGCAACAGCGAGGGCTGGACCCACCATCTGCTGGGTCTGCTGCCCTCTTCCCTTGGAGAATCTCTCCAAACAATCTTCCGTTCAGTGCAATGATGGGAAAATGAACCATCATTTCTTCACTGCATCTTTGTGGAAAATAAGAAGTCAAGGAAAGATGTTAGACTTCTTTGAAGGGTTTCTGGTTTCAAAGTTGAGCTGGATGAAGATGGAAAGGAGTCTACGTTCAACCGGGAAATGAAAGCTCCCCTCTCCCCATACAAACCTCATCCCCACCCCACTTACAGAGAGTATTCAGGCACTGTGTCTCTGAATGAGGGGAGCTCTTGCACATATTCATTATAAAACCATTTCACTTTGAAGTGTAAATTCATATAGTCTGTGCTCTTGCATAACCTGTGCTTTTCATGCTCTGTAATGGACACAAGACAATACAAACATTTAATAAAGCTGCAGCCATAAATAAGATTATAGTCTCCTGGCACACATTTTAGCTCCAGAAAAATAAATTGTACTGGACTTTCACAACTGATAGCTGCTTAATTTTCAGAACCGCTTTGTGATCTCTGACAGTCTCTGTGAGGCTGGTAGGAATGCTGAACCTGGTGCTGGAGCAGCTCAAGTAAGCGAGCCACTGCCCAAGATTACAGAATCCTCAGAGGGATTCCTCTTCCCAGCCATGTCCACAGGCTTGCCTGGGGCGCAGTGTGGGGAGTTCCAGTGGGCATCTCCCTTTGCTACTGGCTGAAGGTGCTTGTACGATGGTTGCGGCAGGCTGCCTTCGGCTGGACGACCGTGGAAGTCTAAGGCTGAGCTGAATGTGCCAGTGCAGTGAGACTGGGGCTGCTCTCAGGGACCAATTCAAATGAACAGATGAATACACACACAGGGCTGATCCCCGTTCACTGCATATAGCGTATGAATTCTACCAAACATTCCGGGCCCTTTCTGGCTAAGAATCGGCCCTGGAAGGGCCTCTGGACAACGGACGGTACAGCCAACTCTCTTCCCTTCTCCTGCCGCGGTGTGATGGGAAAGAGATGGGGAGCAGCTTCTCGGGGGGTTCGGCTGCTGCCTCTAAGCGGGATCTGCCTGGACAGATCATTCATAAAACGGCAACCTCCAGGGTGTCTCCTGGCTCTTCCTCCTAGCCCAGCAAGGCTATTTGCAGAAAGGACTAAGGGGTGCTCTGTGCCTACTTTAGGAATGGTCATTCATTCTGAACTGGGCTCTGTATCTTTCAAAAGTATAGATGTGCAAGCTGATTGTGCCATGCCAATGATAACACCCAACTTGTTGGTGTCAGTTGACCACTGGCAGATCATTTGGCTTCATCCGTGGTACAGGGGTGCTGCATCCAGTCCATTGCAGCAAACTTTCCGATTCTGGAAGTGGGAGGCCAGGAGCTGTGCTTGAGGAAGACAGATATCCAAGGATTCTACATTTTGCTTCCAGAAGTGCTCAATCAGTTCTCCTTTTGAGTGGATTGCAGCCAAGCTGCCCTTCCTCTCTGCGCTGCTGGCTGAGGTTCTTGTTGAATCCCAGATCAACGTGGCCTTTGGAAGCCCCAAGTGCAGCTCTCTTCTTTTAACTGAAGTCAACCTCTCCCCTTGCCGTGCATTTAGTAACCAAATCTATCGCTGTTCTGAAATGCCTCGCCAGGCACGGCAGGTACATTTCCTGTGAGTGTAAACTGTTCTACCACAAAGCGATATATATTCCAGGAGGTGGAAGGATAGATGGAGCTGGGCAATCTGGTCATAAAGAGGGGTCTAATATGGTTTCTAATGAGAACCTAAGATGCTGAAAGACACTGCAGTTCTCTCGTAAGAGTGGCTAAAGGGGAAAGGTGAGTAGGGCAGCGGTAAAGAGAAAAAAAAAATACTTTCCACACCATTGTATGATGGCCTTTCCACAAGGCTCTTGTGCAATTCCTGCTCACCCCAGTGCAAGAGCGAGTCACTAATTGTTTCTTAAGGGCAGGAGGCTGAAAAGGCAATCTCCACCCTCCTTGCTCTGCATCCAAAGCAGTGTTTTCCCATTCTGCCCGCACCAGCCATGCCCAGCAGTCTGTATGCCGCGCTTCAGTTCGGCACACACGAGGCCTCTGCTCCAACCCTCTTCCCCACCGGTGAGACTCTCCAGGCCCTTCTTCTCTGACATGCGCTGGTGTCGTGCTTGTTTCTGCCTATTGCCCTACCAAGAAACATCCCTTCTAAATTTGAGTACTCCACAGGATACTTCCTGAGGCTGAGGCTGTTTACTGCCAGTGTTCCCTTGCAACCCTTATCAGAGGGGGGTATTGGGGAGCCTGGGTGAAACTGACGGGTGTTTTGCCAATTCCCCTCCTCACCCCAGGGACAGCAAGAAGGGTGCATGGGTGATGGTTGGGGTCGGACTAGAGGACCCACCCAACCCCAGGGGCATTGTTGGCTCATGCAGATGGAAGCCAAGCACCTTCAAAGACCCACCCCAGAGAGGGAAGGGACTGGGGCTTGCTTCCTGGCTGCTGAGTGGAACTGCCCCTCATCCTGCCCCAACATGCACACCCTGAAGCTGCAACCTGCCTGACCACCTTTGCTCTCCTTACCTTCTAGAGCAAACTTCATATCCTGCGCAAAGAGGGTCCACATGATCTCCGCACTGACTTTGCCCATGTTCAGCTCCTGAGGGAACCTGCAAGAAGCCAAGCGGGGCACGATCAGCAGGGCAGCTGCTCGCCCATCCGCAGCAACTCTGCCCTCCTGGGGAAGCCCCTTCTGAGACCTTGATGGGTCCCACCTTGGAAGTCTGGGGTCTCAAAGTCAACCAGGGCAGAGAGGAGGAACTGGGGATGTTTTGCAGGGCAAAAGGAAGGGCACTGTGATGGACTGGAATGGTGGGAGGCGAGTAAAGAATGTGCTCTCATCTCCAGAGGAGCGAGGAAGAGATAAGCAGAGGAAATTGGC